CTTTCCCTCTTTCTGCTGCTCACAGTTGGGAGCCAATTGAGAAATACATCAATGAGCAATATGAAAAGTTTCTGAAGGAGGAAGTGAATATTGCGAGGAAGAAACGAATCCCAGACACGAGAGTCCACTGCTGCCTCTACTTCATTTCTCCCACAGGTCACTCGTATGTATCCCAGTGATGCATGGGTCATTTTTGTTGATCTGTCCCATTCATCCTTTCTCTGTACCATCACATCCTGGTCTGCCTTTGTTTTATCCCCCCATGGGACATCCTGATACTGAAGGTTCAAAAGAAAAGGTCTTGGATGAGATAGCCAGGACAGGTGCCACTCCTTAGGTTTTCTAAGCAAAGAGCAAAAAAAAAGTTAAAGAGCTCTAGCAATGGGGTCTAGTTGAGGGTATTAAAAGAAGCTTTCATCCCTCAGTCCAAGAAGGGCAAAGAGGTGATGTCCTGCCATTATGGGTAATGTAGTAAAATAACTCTTCCAGTTTCCTTTCTCATGGGTTACAGCTTGCGACCTTTGGACCTGGAGTTCATGAAACACCTCAGCAAAGTAGTAAACATCATCCCTGTTATCGCCAAGGCAGACACCATGACCCTGGAAGAAAAGATTGAATTCAAGCAAAGGGTGAGTACCACAAAACATCTGAGGCAGAGTCTCCCTCTGTCCTTTTATGAAGGTGGAAGATGTGGGATGTATTCCTTCTGCTGATCTCTCAGACACACTGGCTGCATCTACACATGCACTTTACTGTGGAGTAGACTAGCTGCAGAGTAAAGCGTCACCATCTACACAGGCAGTGGTACTAGGCCACAGTAAACTAATTTACACTGATCAGGAACAGTACTATCTTACACTGGGATAATTTTACTGTGATTAAACATATGTGTAGACACTGACCGCGGCCATAAATTGCGCCTGGACAGCCCAGTCAGTAGGGTCCAAGCTCCTGCCTGCTGCCTAGCCACATGGCTCGGCACTTTCAGCACCCTTGTGCCCCAGCCAGCTCCTTGACTGCCTAACACCACCACCCAGACCCTGGGGCTGACCCCCATCCCCCTGCCAGCCTGGGCTTGCTCTGCCCCGGCTCAAATTGTTGCTGTCCTGGGTGCATGTGTAGACGCTGCACCTGGGAGTAGTTTACTTCACCTAAAACTGCTCTGGAGTTTATTGCTTTGCATCAATTGCACGTGTAGATGCATCCATGGGTACTTTCCTTCATGCTTCAGCACCCCTCTCAGCTGATGTTACAGGATCCAGTGCTGGATTCACTGACTCAGACTTCAGTTATGCTGTAACTGTAACAAAACCTGATCATAGCTCTGTAGTGTGTTACAGTGTGGGGTGCGATGCTGTGTGGTAACTATGACAGTGCTCAGGCGGCAGTGGATGGCCCAGGTCACTCAGACTTGTATGGGAAAAGCCAGCTTGGCTGTTGGAAAAATCACAGCAACACAGCTGTTTCCAAGGTACCATGTGTCAGGGTTTCAGGGCTAGCTCAAAGCCAAAGTCTGCCCTAGCTGGGGCTAATGAGGTAAGAGCAGGCTGAACTACCCTTTTCTGCCATGCCTGGGGAAGCATGGGGTTGGCTACTGGGAACTGCACCAAAGATTGAATCCCTGTGTTGGCTGTAGGACTCAGGAAACACAACATGTAGTTCTCCTTGCTCCTGGTGCTGGCTGGTCTCTATCCACAGTGCTGTTGGGGAGGGACCCTCCAAAGCACAACCTGCCCACTTGCTTCCACTTGCACACACCAAACCTGGAAATGCAGCTGTGAAACTGCTCCATGGGTGCTCCTTGAAGCTACTTTCCAGCCTGCTAGCAGCAGAGGCTTTGAAAAAGCTAGGGAGAGGTGTGCCTGACATTCACAGATTTCTGAATTTGGCATATGCAAGTGGAAGCGAGTGGGTGAGGTGTACTCAGGAGCTGGGGACACAGTGTAGGCATTCCCTATACTATTCTTGCTCCAAACACTTGCTTGCTTCCTTGATTCTTGTTCTAGGTCCTGGTTTTCAGCTTGCCTACTGGTTCGGACCTTTGATTTGCTCCTGGCCCTCAATATGGACCCAAATTAGTAGTCCAGAGTGCCCACACTGGTGCAGTTACACCCTGCACATGTTACAAGATGATCATTTCAAGAATGTGCTTGTCCTTTAAATCAGTGGTGGCCAACCTGTGGCACAAGTGCCATGAACAACTTGGGCAGCCTTTGCGTGTCACCCAGCAGATCAGGAGAGGACAGGCAGCACAGCAGCCAGCAGAGCAGGAAGCAGAAAACAGAAGAGGAAAGTAGTCAGGGAGTACAGAGCAGAGAGTTAAAAGCAGAGCAGATCATGCAGAAGAAAGGGATCAGAGTAGCACATGGGGAGGGCACGAGGCTAACTTGTGGCATGCCTGCCCAAAAGTTTGGCTCCCACTGCTTTAAATGAACCTTTGCAAAACATCAGCTAGCCATAGCAAACCTGTCCTAGGGAACCCCAGCTCAGCTCTAAGGTAGAGGAGAGTGTGGTGACCCACTCTGATCCCCTTTGGCTGACTTCTGTCATGTGACTAAGTTATTAATTCTTTGTAATCATGATGTATGTCTAGTAACTGGGTTAGGGCATAAACCCAGTTCACTGGTGGCGGGGAAGCACCCCATGTCGACTGCAGCAGGGAGTGCCCGCATACTCTGTGCAGTGGGAGTATGCTCAGGGAGCCCATGGCCCTTTCTGGTGCAACCTCTGTAGCACATGGCCCCCTCTGGTGTGACCCAGGGGATGTGCAACCCCTGGCCTTTAAAAAGTTGGGCAGCCCTGATTTAATACTTCTGTTGCTTTTCACTTTAAAACGTTTCCCTGGACAGGTGCGCAAAGAACTAGAGGTGAATGGGATCGAGTTTTACCCTCAGAAGGAGTTTGATGAGGACCTGGAGGATAAAACAGAGAATGACAAAATCAGGGTAGGATGTCCTTTGGCATGGCTGTGGGCTGGGGAGGTATTGGAATTTATGGAGTTCAAACTAGTGACAGATCACTCCGGTTTCTAAAGTGAGAGCCAGGGGAAAACTGGCTGTGAATGTAATGTATTCTCACTGGTGCTTCACAACCAGCAGGGAGGGTGGGTCATTTCATCTTTTGTTCTTTTATTTGCTTTGTCCCCATTTCTGTTATCACCATGGTGCACTGTGATGGCTGAGCTGACAGGGATGTTTGCTCCCCTTCATCTTGCTTGAACACAGCTTTGGTTTGGGTTGGATGAAGGAAGAGAGGACTAGAAGGGACCTCATGGGTCAGAGCGTCCAGTCTCCCCCCATTCCAGGAAACCATGTCATAATACCTTTTTCACAAACTGATCAAATCCATCTAAAAAGTAGGTAGTTTTATTGCCCTCCACTACCCCTTTTGGGTGACTGTTCCAGAACCTCTCTGATCTAATGGTTCCAAAACCTCCTTCTAATTTCCAGCCTAATTTTTTGTAAGGCCCTTTTATACCCATTTATTCTCATGGCAACATT